TCAGTTCGTTTTATGTGACGAAAAAAACACCCCAACGCCTAGTTTTGCGATATAAACTTATCCACCACAGTATCTGCCACCCATATACCCATTGTCTGATTCATTGATTGACTGACTGAGTGTATCTGCCACCCATATACCCATTGTCTGATTCATTGATTGACTGACTGAGTGTATCTGCCACCCATATACCCATTGTCTGATTCATTGATTGACTGACTGAGTGTATCTGCCACCCATATACCCATTGCCGGATTTATTGATTGTTTGACTGACTGCCTGACTGAGTGTATCTGCCACCAAAATACCCATGCACCAATATATTTGTGTATCTATCCCCATATACTCATTGTCTGATTTATTGATTGGTTCATGTACACATACATGTACCAATTGATTCATTCATCCCTTCACTATACACACCTTTGCCAATCCTATATTGGGAAACCTTTCGTAAAATAGTTCATACTCTTCTCCACTTGCCCCCTCTTGTAGTTGTCCTTTGTAGATTCTAGTGGCTGTAATAGTACTGATACTGTTACCATCTCCCAGGAACATGATAATATTCTTTGCTACTTTGTTCTTAATTTTCATTCCTCGAGCTCTTTGCAAATCACGCGCTGCTTTTTCTTTCCAAAACTCGTAATCTAAAATTAATTATTAGCATAATATATATTTTATTATATAATTTAGTAAATAACCACGTGTATGCATAACACGGGTATTCCTTGATCATTAAGTCCCAATCGTATAAAATTATAATTTGTGTGAAATATTCTATTTCACCAATTTTAACTGACGCACGGAAGTCTGAATGACCGGGGTTCTCTGACATGCATTTCTAAAAAACTAGCCACCATTGCCATGCTGGCTGTGATCATGATATATTACGACGTGACTTTATTTACAATAGGTAAAATGATGTATGTCACCAGGTCACCTACCAACATAGAATAAAATGTGAGGGGCTACTTTTTTGTGAATGTAAATAACATTCCTAAATCACGAGTTGATACGTGAATCTTCGCATTAATATTGATTTGGGGATTTAACTTGCCAAATGTTATTTCGAAGTTATAGATTGAACTCTTTGAACAGAGGAACAATTCAGGTGTATATTTGTCAGAACGCATTTGTACATTATCTATATTTGGAAATATTTCTATTTTATAATGTTGTAAATAATACATGTATTCTACTCTGTTTAAAGAAAAATATTGAATATTTCTGAAATAAAAAACGTCTGTACATAACTATGGATTTTGTACCATTCGTTCGTGTGTACAATGTCAATATTCTACTCTCGCTTATCTTATCTGCACAGAAATCAATCATCAATCACATATTCCAAATATATATGTAACTTAATCAATAACGTTGATTTAACTGATGTGTTGATATAGCCACAAAAAAAAAAACGAGAATAAGAAAAATAATTCTAAGTGATACACGTATGGATTGAATAATCTCAAGAACAAAGTTCAATTAATTTATCATCTAATCCGTACAACAAACAGTTCAGAACTGAATGCTATACTATAAAGAGAAAATATAATCAGTTTGTAAAAAAGAAGAAGTGATAATACAAAAATGATATACTAACTAAGCTAAACACAATAAGTAATTCACGTCCTGTAGAATAGAATCTAATTAATGAACTAAAGGAAGAACAAGAAATGAATTTATGTGATAACATTAATGCCGCGCATTTCAAATAATCATGAAACCCAATTTGACGACAACCTAAAAATAGAAACGAAAGCCTAAAAATACACCTAGTACCATTCAGGACCAAATTATCTCTCAATTATAAAGTCAAACTGCAATCGGAGCTTTAAAGAATGGAAAATCTCTCGGTGAAGATAGAATAACAAATGAAATAATTAAAACTGGTAGAAATGTCCTGCTAAAGCCTCTACAAAAACTGTTTAACCATATCGTCATAAGTGGTCACTTTGCTAGTGCCTGGAATATGGGTATTATCACGCCAATCTTTGAAAGGCGGGAACGAACTGACCAGGGAAATTATCGAGGAATTACTCTTATAAATTTTCTGAGTAAACTCTTACTTACTTACTTACTAAACATATCAATAAAAATAACATTATAATTGAAGAAAATATTGGCTTCATGGCAAAATTCAGAACAGCTGATAATATCTTTGTATTTAAACAGTTACCGAGTGAATATTTAAAAAGTAAAAATCGAATATTTGCATGTTACCTTGACAAAGGCTTTCGATGCAATCTTGTGTCAAGTCTTACTTTACAAACTTCGTAAAAACAACATCTCAGGTAAATTCTACAATATCATAAAATCAATCTATCAAAATTATCTTGGTTGTGTATAAACAAAAACAGAGCTTAAACCCTCTGTCAGAGGCATTAAACAGGGAGATAACCTGCGCCCACATTTTCTATATGTTAATGACATCAAATACCACATTGAATCCTCAAAAATAACCAACAATCTCTTTTAACAAACCATCTATCCTGTCTACTGTATGCAGATGACCTATTACTACTTTCAGAATCAGAACATTGATTTTGTAGGAATATATTGCAAACAGTGGAAGCTTGATGTCGATGCATTAAAGTAAAAAAATAATAATTTTTAACAAATCCGGGTAAATGTTATCAAAAAACAAATTTAAAACAAATTGGAAAATTATTTAGGAACATGGCTGGGCGATTTCGCTCAAACTTGGCAGGTAGGTCCCACCTTTACTCTAGTTAGGTGGTACAATCTGAAAAAAATCCTGCCCTACCATTGTCATGGTCAGCCCCAAAGATTTTTGTATACTTTCACCCAAAATGCATTACCTCCACCCAGTCTTGTAAAAGCAGTGTTCAAATGATCATGCTTTTATTTTGGCTACGTTGCGCACTGGTAAGAGATCACCGGCGCCGACATTGTTACACTGTATCAACGTAATTCCTAAGCAACTTTGAACTTTGAATGAGCTGTAAATGCTGCGTTCAATCAAAGAATCTAGAAAGTACATTCGTAAAACGGTCGGAAATAATGAATATAGCAGAAAATACACGTTAGTAATAAAGTGAAGTGATTTCTGAAGACTAAATGTTCTTGCAAACTTTGTATACGAGGCCCCGGTTTTAGTCATAAACCGACTTTAGCTTCACGTTAAATGTTCTACCATGCCAACAGCTGAAAACATGTTTGTTTTTTTGAACGGAGCGCTAACCATATAAGTGTGTAAGTATATGTACGAATTGTTTTAAAACAATGCGACATGCACATGGGTCATTATCAACTGTTTACCGCATTTTTTGTGAAAATGTTTGTCACATTGAAACAATAGTATGATATTATAGTAATCGCATATTCCAAATGAAATGAAACACTGGGTCAAAAAATATCGCTGTAATAAGGACATACTTCCCAATAACTTCATGTCTGATAGTTTCATATCGCCTGTGACGATTGACAAGATTGCCACAAGTAAAATATGAACACGGTGGCATAATGTGTTCGTGTGTTCTAATTTTCAGATCGATCCAGTCATCTCTAAGGAAATTGACACATTTGAACACAGATTTGACGTTGGTTGGGTAAAGTATTGCAGTCTTTAGCATTACCTATTGAGACCACAATAAAACCAGTCGACCACATTTGACCGAATAAAAAGGTGCGTTGAATAACCGAAATCCATGCCTGGGAAATAGGGTATAATCAACCCTTGAACAAGCAAACAGAATTTCTCAAATTATTGGTAGCATTTGCACTTCAAAAATCATTTCAATAAATAAATCCAACCAAAATTATAATCCTGTGTCCGTCCATCCGAAATAAATATGACGTCGAGATAAGTTTACATAAGTTTACATTTGCCATCAAAATATTCCCATGTTTTAAATTAATTTCTATCGTTCATACGATGCGCACATATTTGTGAGGCGTATCACAAGGTGATCGGTAAATTTCGAAAATTTGACAATAATCAATTAATCGGTGTTTGAGCTTTTTCAAAAAAGTTCAAAAAATTTTGCCATAATTGCAATATACTATTTTCAAATGGCCCTGGAATTATTTTTTAATGGTTAGTCAATAGTTGTGTATATTGTGGAGATGTAAAGACATTCTCATATAAATAGATACTTGTTTTCACCACGTATTACTCATGCGAAACAGTACTGTAGAGTCAACTTTACTCATGTAGTCGTGTCTTAATTTCTCTGTCCACGTATGTATATTTTAATATATATATATATATATATATGTTTAATTCTTTTAAAAGATTCCTCTCATTAGTAAATAGTGCACAATATGAACACAACAAAGGGGTCCACGATTCCAACAAATTATTATAAACATAACGCTCAAAATTCGTTTAGAGACTTCGTTCAAGCAATAAAAATGGTTAATCCTCGCAGAAAATCGGTCATGTTATTTATTCATCACTCGTATCATTTTTTTGAGAAGTGCTTCACATTTCTAGCAAATTGTCTGAAAAGGGGTATGCTTTTGGCATCATGGATGTTTGGGAAAAGGGCTTGAGGTGAGTATACCCCCTTGTGACAAGACTCTACAGGACCCGACGCGCGCATTAGCCCGAAGATGCGCAATGTATACGTTCAGTTGCATTCACATGGTTCAGGCTTTTGAGACAGTGTTCTGATGCGACTGAACAAACCTGAATTCTTGTCGTCGATCATTTCTTCTGCCATCCAAATGTGCGCGTTTATTTTGAACAGCTCTGCTATACTTTCCATATTTAAAATGCAGTGCTTAGGCCTCGTAACCCAGGCAACGAGTCACGCCCATTCTGTAGTTTTGATTTAATTTATAACAAGTGTAAACATGATAACGGGCTTTTCACTATGCCGTCTGACTTTGATTTTCGATCAAATAAACCAAGCTTTCCCACCGGAAGCAGATATCAGTAATGCATAGACAAATGTTGTTTAAGCGCGGTACATATATTAGTCACAGTAATAATTTGGACATTGGCTCAAAATGACAAACTGATGTGTTTTTTTTTGTTTTAACGATTGCTGTCATATTGTTTATCACAAGGCACGTGTACATATGAGCCAACTGAAGCTTTGAGCATCCCCTATTCCATTCAGACCCACCCCACACTATTGAGTCAACTACACTTTCAAACGCAACGGGGGAGCCAATGTCCCGGATGAGTAGTCCAACTCAGCTGTCAGAAAAGCTTTCATTATTTGTATGTAATAATAGTCTGGCTTATAAAATTGAATTTTATGATAAAGAAGTGGGGTAACGATATATACAACGAAGGGGTGATATCAGATGTCTCGAAAGGAGTCGACACATTCTGCACCACACGAGTCATAATCAAATACTTTGTACATTATATTTTACCGCACTCATTATATCTGCCAAAACCTTCTTTAAATTCCAAGGCCAGTTGCTTTCTGCAATAGATCGTTTTATTGGTGTCTGAGTTTGGCGTAATAAGACAACGTCTTTTTTAAAAAGCCGAGTTGGGGAATATATATCTAAATTGATGATAGTAAAATTAAAATCATCTGTTTGTTATCTTTGAAATATAATCACACAATTTAGAATTGTTGTTGGAAATTACGTCATTAATAAATTTGAAGTGGCCTTTTTGTCAATTTGTTTTGCACTAATTGGTTAGACCCGATTTCCAGGC